GCGCAATCTCGGCTTACCGCAACCTCTGCCTCCCGGATTCAAGCAATTCTCCTGCCTCAGCCTCCAAGTAGCTGGGATTACAGGTGCCCGCCACCCACCACGCTAATTTTTGTATTTTTAGTAGACCAGGCTGATCTCGAACTCCTGATTTCGTGCATAATCCGCCGGCCTCAGCCTCCCAAAGTGCTGGAATTGCAGTCTTGAGCCACCATGCCCAGCCTTGCCATCACCTTTTTTGAAAGCACTGCATGGGCCCAATCTGGCCTACCAATCACAGAGCAGCCCCTGGGCCGTCCACCTCAGGGCCTCCCTTCCCATCTAGTAAAGTGCACACATCCTTATTTACTATGGATTAAAGGATCACACAGACACAATATAGCCATGGAAAAACCCTCTTGTTTATTTGATTAAACAAAAATAAAATAAGCTGCATAGGAACAATTTTAAAGTCCAAAGAGACACCAACTTTGTTTTAAGGCTGTAGTAGCTGATACAGCATCTCCTTGCTACCTTCCCCAGCCTTCTCTGTGGACCACAGCGATACATTCAGAAGCCTGCTAGCTAACACAGGAGTTTTTGAACACTTTCCCATTGGTTCTTCACTGCTCACTGCCTGTCATACCTGCGGCCTGACATTTAAGATTTCAAATGTGAAAGCCCAAAGAGGGGGCGGGGGGGCAACCAAACAAAAACTTACTTCTGCCTAAAGGTTTGGGGGGAAATCTTCATTTCCCTGCCCAGCTACTGAACTGATGGGATTCACACTACCATGGCAATGCCCATTTAAAAGTGGCAAATAGCGGTCAGCACCCCACCCCAGATGGGCTTGCAGTGTGGTTTCTGCTGTCAGGGGAGTTACTACGGTAGTGCATATTCCTTATATCATGTCTGCCTTGGACAAATACAAATTAAGACGTTTAACTTAGTCATTCTCACGTAAGGCAACATGCACACATTAATTCCCCCAATTCTGTGTTTACTTAAAAAAAAAAAAAAAAAAAAAAAGACTCAACTGAGTCACATGTTCCACAGTTAAAAATTAAAGCATTTTGCTGACCCGGCATGAGGGCTAATGGGCAGTGTTAAGATTCAGTATAACAACCCTCCTCCCACCCACCCAAGTATAACTAACATGCTAGATAAAAACAACACCCTTTACCCACCCACCCTCACCTGCATCAATGTAAAGAGAAAAGGGGGAAAAAGAAAGGAATCTTACCACCCTAAAAGCAAGAAAACCCCAGAAATGTGAAAAATCTTCCTCTGAAGAAATCAACTACACAGACTGCTAGAAACATAAAGAACTACTACGGAGCTGGTTATTTAAAGAAAGTAAACACTTTGCTACACACATCAACATTCAGTCAGTGTGCTCTGAGATAGGGTCTTAAGAAAAATACTACCTGAGCTTGCAAGTTAATACAATCATTAAAAGGAGGTCTAAGACCATGTGGATACACAAAACTTTTAGAACCATTATTGGTTAAATGATGATGGAAAATATCCCACCAGGCTGGCTTGTTAACCCGTAAGATCAGTTTTAAAAAACAGACGTAATTGAGGTATTTCTTCACCATGACATTTATAAGCCCAACTCATGATAATGACAGTGGTCTTAGGACCCTCCTCTCTTCCAACCAACCAAAAATTAGGGCAGAAGAGAGGTGGGAGGGTCAATACAGTATATCCTGGTAATGTGCTTCTCAACTTTATCAAGTATTTAATAAACAAGGGGGGAAAAAACCCGTCAACATGTTACCTTTGGTAGGAAAAAAATCAAAACACAAAACAAAACAGCAATATACACTTCAACAGTCACTGCTCAGTCAAAACAGTGATTGTTCCAACATCATGGTGATGAATGTCCTGCTGGGTCCAGAAGCTACGAATACAATCATGTAGTCAAAAGGATTCTCATTCCCTTCAAATATTGGATGTTTCCAAGAACTAGACCTTTAGAATTACTCCTAAAAGGATATTAGCTGAAGACATTCGAAATACAGATAAAATATTTTTCTCTTGAAGAGAAAGAGACCTACAGGTCTTTATTTGTAGTTAAGTCCTCCAATAGGTCAGATTAACCAGTAGTTTCATAATACTGAACAACAGTAACGGTATGCATAATTCTTTGTGAGGGGGAAAAGCCAGATTGCTAAGAACTACTTGGATTTATGACTATATTTGCCTGACATTTCTCTTTCAAGGTTACTAAAACATTTCTCCTGGGAGAAATCAGTTGTAGATTTATGATAACATCTCTTTCAGAGGTAGCTTCCCACTCCCGCCCACTCCCCACTGGATTAATACTATTCTTTTTGAGACCTGTCAGATGTTAAACATGAGGTAGATGACTGGCCACAATTGAGGTAGAAACCCAACAAAAGCAGTCAGTGTGGTCTGGAATGCTGCGCCCTATGCCCCTGGCCTGCAGAAAGCCAGACAAGGCCATAGAGCTCCAGAGGCCCTGGCCATGTGACACCATCACCTGCGAGTACAAGTGTTTGACTTTATACAGCCCCAGACTGTTGGAAACTGAGTGATGTTTTAAATATACCTTAAATATACCCTAAATACTTTTTGGCACCACTGGATTAAAAAAAAAAAATCAGAAAAAGAAGGTTAAAACTTTGGCATATCTTTCACCACCTACCAGAACACAGCAATCTTAGAATCTTCCAATGAGGAAGGCAACACATATAATTAGTACTTTGCTGCTTCAAGCCTAAAAGACTCTCCTCAAATAATTAAGCTTTGGCTTAACTAGAATAAATCAGACAGGGCCAATCGCAAGCTATTCTCTTGCAACTCTATCGCAAAGTGCCTCAATTCTGGCAACATTTTTGGCCCAACACCTAATTTGGATTTGGTTTATGGTACCCTTTATTATGTGTTTCCCCAAATAAGTTAGACTTAAAAGGGCATTGAGGAGTTAGTGCACTTGGGGTACAGCCCAGGTCACTATGCTCTAGTCAACTTGAGTGCCACTTGCAGCCCCAACAGAGTACAGGTTCTGAGACAGGATTACATCTCGGGACCAAAAATAACACTTCTGAAATGTTAAGTCAGTGTCCAGCAAAAGTGGTTTTTACCTATGGGTTAGATCTCCTTTAAACATCTCAATACCCAAACCTGCATATCCAAACCCAATGAGTATCTCCAAACATAAACTGAGCTGACATTACGCCCCACCCAAACCTCGCCACCTGACCAGATCAGACCTCCATGGGGACTATTGTCTTAATTGTCATATTTACTCCCCAGAAACGTTTTTATTCTCCTACCTCATAACACCCAGGACCTCACTATTTTTTCCATCACGCTGAAGACTCCCTTCCTTGACCGAACTCCTGGCTACCCTGGCATCACCTCATAACAGGCAGGAGATTATGTATTTAAACACAGGTACTTTTAACAGTCTCACACTAGGAACTGCCAAAAGTTGGCTTTCATCATCTTTCTTTGATTTGGAACATTTCACATCATACAATAAACACTCTCCAAAGTGCTTCGCACCAATCCCTATGGGTCAGGAGTCAATCGTGGGCAGCCACAAATGGCCAATGTTTTAAAAACAAAAGCTTTCCAAATGTGACCATGTTTCTCAAATGCCAGTCAGGCACCATTTTGGGTACAGAAAGGTAAGGGGATATACTACCACTGGGGACACAGAGGTAGTACTTCCAATCTACACACATACTTCAGGGGCATAGTTCTACTTGCTCTAAGCCTGCAAATTTATAAGTCTGTAAATTAAGACCTGTTAATTTCAACCACGGAGTGGAAATCTTGGCTTTTCAACCAAATCCATAGTAAAATGTCAAATAAGAAGCTTTAGTTACTGCTATGCACCAGGAAAATTTCTCATTTACGTCCCAAAAGTTTCCTACATCTGGGGAAATTAGAAAGAAAAGAGCAGAATAAAAATGACTACGAAAAGATTTTAATCAAGATCCATTTCCTCAATAAAATTTGTTTTTCAAGCATTTAAAACCAGTTGTCTTTGGTATTTAAAGGGTGGCTTGTTGGGTGGCTAGGGAGAAGGAAGAAAGTTCAGCACCAACTTACTCCAAAATAAAAAACAGTAAAAATGTTCAACTACATTAACTCTTTACCAAAGAACTTGGAGTTTAATGGCCAAAAGGCAACTGAATAGGCACTGGGGAAGGATTCACTATTAAATTCTATAGCAAAAGGAGCTTCTACCAAACAAGATTCCTTAGTGCCTTCCCACCCTGTAACAGCAGCTGGGAGCCAGCAGTTTGAAGTTACTTTCCAACTTTTCAATCTTTTATTGCATGCAGTTCTCCTCTGTGAGATGAATTTTTTTTTTCTTCCCATTTTGGTCACTCAGAAACCCTAGAATTAAAGCAATGGGAAGAGACAGCGTAGCTTGTAGTAGCAGATTAATGTCCAAAAGAGGTGTGCGGGAAAAGCAATTTGATTGACTTGTCATATCGTCCCCATCATCTCCTTTTTCTATTGGGATAACAAAAGCAAACTGCTCCATTTGTTAATCTGTTCTGTTCATTTCAAACTATATTTTGCAATATAAATTTCTGTTAAATAGAGGAACAGAAGTTGATCCGTAAGTCTTTATTTTTAAACAAGAGGTCTCTCTTGTAAGCCACTGGTGTTTGTTTGAGAGTCACTCTTTCCCTGAGGAGGGCGCCTCCAGAATTTGGTTATTTTAGTATTTGGGGGAACGCGGGAACCCACTGGGGTCTGACAAGCAGGGTATCAGCTACACCTGCTTTGCACTTGAAAGACAGACAATGCCCAGAAGCACAAGTTTTGTGCCCAAGTCCAGCTTACAACCAACCAATCCTGTAAAGTGACAGATTCTACCCCACAGTTCTGCAGCAGGAGTCTTAAATTTTCATTCTTTGGTACCAAGTTACAGGTTTAAGAAAAGACATTACATCCTACATTTCAGGTTGGGAACGATTTGGTTTCTAGATCCTTTATATTCGAAGGCCCTGGGGGTGGGGATTCATGTTAAACCACGAGGTCCTAAAGCATGTCTAGGGTGCAAACAATCTTATAAAAAGTGACCCAGCAGAGGGTGTGGGACTGGGCTGTTCCCTGAACTTCCAGAGCAGGAAAAAAATTGTGCTTGTAAAATAAAAGTTCTTTCCTTTGCCTACTCTTCTTAGGAAAAGAAACTCCTAGCATGACAGAACAAACTCCTATGCACTCTCAGGTCAGGACGAACCTGCCCCTTCTGTGGAGTCCCTATAGTTTGGGGGTGCCTGGCTTCTTTCATGTGCTCTCTGACTCTCTCAGCACAAGCAGGTCCACCCACATTCATGTCCACATCAGCCCATGCCTGAAAACCCTCTCTCGGAGAACGAGGTTAACTTCCTTCTTCCTTCCATTTAACTCTTTATAACCAACAGCAAAATAAGAAAACTTAACTTTTGAGAATATGTTTAATCAAAACTCCTGAGCTACATCTATATATATTTTTAAGAAGCCAAAGTGTGAAAGGACAGGTTTGGGAGGCAGTGTGTCATTTTCGGCTTTACTACTTGGGTGCAAGATGGCTTTGAAACAAATACGCACACACCCTCCCCGCAAAAGAGGCGAAGATTATTTACCCTAAAATATGAAGGGTCTGCTTTTCTTGGCTAGCAAGCCACAGCCACAACGTCTAGGATTAAGAAAAGATGCAGAAGAGGAGGTTAAACACACTGAGGTATAAACAGAGAACAGAGGAGAGTTCTCTGTTGCAGCATTTAAAAAGAGAAGATTTTCGAAAAAGATCAAAACAACACAACATAATCTAACCCCATATAAACACAGTATTCTCAAGAACACAGATACTCTATAATTATGCATTTTAAATCCTATTTTTTCCATGTTTTATACTTTTTTGTTTTTTTACTTAGTAGTTTTTTTGTGTTTCCTTGGCTCAATCTACAGAATACACCCCACCACACACATCCAGTGCCCTCCCAGCCATACAGATGCCAGGTTTGTGCATATCATGTCCCACGCAGGGGAAGAGGGAAATGCGACTCCACTGAGGAGGGGAAGAGGGCCTGTTGCAGAAGGAAATGCAAAGATTTATGAGGTAGATAGAAATTATCACTTCACAGGCTCAATCCCTGCAGAAAAGATAAGTACATTCATCTGTAAAAAAATAAAGATGAGGTAGGACTTAAGCAATGTTGTACTTTTCTTGTTCTCTTTTAAAAAAAAGAAAAAAAGAAATCTCCCTGAGACTGTTTCTTCTTTGAAATTCAAAAAGAGAGAGAAAGAGAAAGAGAGAGACAGAGAGAGAGAGAGAGACGCACACACCCCAAAAACAGAAACCTAGGAAATGCAATTAGAAGACGAGGATTCGATTGTTGCCAAAGTCCACCACAACGATCATTCCGTCGGGGGTGATGGCGATGCCTGAGGGGCGGTCCATCTGCCCGAAGCCGCTGCCTTGAGCACCAAACTTGCACAGGAAGCTGCCGTTGGATTCAAACATCTGTACCCGATGGTTCCTGGAATCCGCCACGATGATGCGCCCTTCCTGGTCCACGGCGACACCTTGTGGGCGCAGGAACTGCCCATTGCCTGTGCCCTCCGAGCCCAGGAAGCGTGCCGACTGGCAGTCGGGGTGAATGACCAGGAGCCGGTGGTTGTTGAAGTCGGTGACTACCAAGTGGCCCTCATGGTTGAAGGCCACACCCCGTGGGGAGTCAAAGTGCTTCCAGAGAGCCCCCTCGAAGCCATACTTATTTAGGAAGACACCATCAGGCCCAAACAGCTGGATCCGGTGGTTCCTTGTGTCTGAGACCAGGATCTTGCCTTCAGAATTCACCGCCACATCCCAAGGGTAGTTGAACTGCCCATTCTTGGTTCCCTTCTCACCAAATTTGAGGAGGAACTGGCCCTCGAAGGTGAAGATCTGGATGCGATGATTGTCCTTGTCAGCCACCACGATCCTGCGTGAGGCGTCACAGGCCACCCCGGCTGGTCGGTCGAACTGCCCAGGCCGGGAGCCCAGGGTGCCGAATTTGTGGTGGAAGGTGCCACAGGGCTTGAACACCTGGATGCGGTTGTTGCTGCGGTCGGCGACAATGATGTAGCCCTCCTTGTCTACACTCACGCCCCAAGGGCGGCAGAGCTTGCCATCGCTGTCACCCTCGCTGCCGAAGCTCAGGCCCGGGAGCCCAATGCCCACGTAGCTGCGGCCTGACTTGACCACCACCTTGAAAGGGCTGTTCTCGATGTGCTGGTTGCACAGTGTCACTGACACCAGGTGCTCGCCCTCCAGCTGGGGCCGGTAACTCACCACATATGTCCCATTTTGCTGATCGCTCACCTCCGCACCAAACAGGTTGCCATCAGGGCCAAGGACCACAGCGGACATCAGATCACCTCCTGAGAGGCGGGGCTCACCATCGTGGTCATAACCAATGACTGTGAAGGAGGCCACCTTGCCCTGGAGGGCGCGCTTGAGGCCATCGCCCGTGGCCTTGGTGAGTGGTGCAAAGGCCCCGCTGCTAACGAAGCCAAAAGACTTGATGGCAAGGTACAGCGCCTGATCCGGGGGTGTGAACATGACTCGGTCATCCTCCTGGGGCTGCAGGAGGCTCCGCACGGTCTTCAGCTCCTGCACCTGGGCCAGCATGCGGTCTCGGGCCAGCAGGATGTCCAGTGCTCGGCCCTCCTCCAGGACCTGCTGCACGGCACTGATGGTGCTCTCAAGCTTGTTGAGGTTTTGCCGCAGCTTCTCCACCTGCAGGTACAGAGACTTGGCTTTCACCTGGCGAATCTTTTCTACCTGGAGGGAAAAGCAAGAGTGGAGAAAGACACAGAGGCTTAGGGCCAAACACAGAAAATCCCACGTAAGGCACAACTAATCACAAGGAAGCATCAGACAAACACATCTTGAGAAATGGTCTACAAAAAACATCTGGCCTGTATTCTTCAAAAGCAGCAAAATCACAAAGGACCGAAAAAAGCTGAAGAACTGTTCTGGGTTACAGAAGATAGTTACTAGAGACAAGACAACTAAATGTGATTAGTGACCCTGCACTGGGGGAAATGGCCAGCTATGAAGAGCACCACTGGGACAAGTGTTGAACCTTGATTATGGACTGAGGAGTAGATGCTAGCACTGTAACAAAATCAAATTTCGTAACTTCTATAATTGTACTGTGTTTAGGTGTAAAGGGGTTGTGTTTCTAATACACCAACTCACTCTCAGATCACAAACATATACATACATGTACACACGCACATACGCATTCAGTGAATGTTGCAGTGAGCTGAGATAGTGCCATTGCACTCCAGCCAGGGTGACAGAGCCAGACTCCATCTCAAAAAATAATAATTGGGACAAAATGTACATAATCAGCAAGATAAGAAACATCTGGAGTTACTATTATTACCGCAACTTTTCTATAAGCTAGAAATTAAAGAAAAATAAAGTTAAAAACAGTCATCTAGCTAGGCACAAGGGTGTGCACCAGTAGTCCCAGCTACTTGGGAAGCTGAGGTGGGAGAATCACTTGAGCCCAGACGGCTGTCTGTAGTGTGCCATGATTGTACTTTACTTGTGAATAACCACTGCACTCCAGCCTGGGAGATCCCACCTTAAAAAACAAAACAAAACAAAAAAAAAACACCAAGATCCCACCACCGAAACTAAAAACAGCCATCTGACAAACGGAGTTTACTGAGCACACACACTCTGCCAGGCACTGGAGGTACTGCAGTGACCCACAGAAAAGACCGTCCCTGCTCTCACAGAGTTGTAGTTTAGAAAAGCAGATATTAGAAAGCAATCAAAGAAATAAGGATCATGTCAGATAGTGACAGCTATCAAAAAGTAGAAAAAGGATGGGAAAGACAGTGACTAGGAGCCCAGATATAGACAAAGGGTGCTGAAGGACAGTGTCTTTCATAAGTTGAGACCTAAAGGTTGAGACTAGGCAAAAGGCCAAAAGGAGAGCTATCCCAGCAGAGGAAACAGCCAGCACAAAGGCTCAGCATTTCAAACACACAGTTTTCAGGAGGGGAGTGACATGACACATTCATGCTCCTGAAGAATTAGTTTGTGGCCTGGTGTGATAGCTCACAGCTGTAATCAGCGCTTTGGGAGGCAGAGGAGGGTGGATCACCTGAGGTCAGGAATTTGAGACCAGGCTGGCCAACATGATGAAAACTCGTCTCTACTAAAAATACAAAATTAGCCGGGCATGGTGGGGGGACCTATAATCCCAGCTACTCGGGAGGCTGGGGCAAGATTATCATTTGAACTAGGGAGGTGAAGGTTGCAGTGAGCCAGGATCGGGCCACTGCACTCCAGCCTGGGCGACAAGGGTGAAACTCTGTCTCAAACAAACAAACAAACAAAAAAAAACAAAACACAAAAGGATTAGTTTGGGAAATGTATATTAAAGGGGAACAACAGATGTGGGTTGGGAGTAGCTTAGCCATCAGAAGTGGCTGTGAAAGTGGAGCGAGTGGCAGAGAGGGTACTAGCGGCAAAACCAGGCAGGACTTCATAGCTAGTCTTACACCCCCAGAAACCGGAAATCACTGAAAGAACACACACTGTGTGGGCATGGTGGTTCATGCCTATAATCCCAGCACTTTGGGAAGCCAAGGCAGGCGGATCACTTGAAGTCAGGAGTATGTGTGTACACACACAGACACAGACACTCTCTCTCTCTCTCTCTCAGACAGGGATAAAGACTGTGTATTGAGAATGGTGACCATGGCTCACTACCACCTCAGACCTCCCAAGCTCAAATGATCTTCATACCTCAGCCTCCTACTAGTGCACCACCATGCCTGGCTAATTTCTTTTTCTTCTTTTTGTTTTGAGGTAAGAGTCTTGCTCTGCTGCCCAGGCTGGAGTGCAATGCTGCAATCTCAGCTTACTGCAACCTCTGCCTCCCGAGTTCAAGCAACTCTCCTGTCTCAGCCTCCCGAGCAGCTGGGAATACAGGTATGTGCTACCATGCCTGGCTAATTTTTGTATTTTTAATAGAAAAGGGGTTTCACCATGTTGGCCAGGCTGGTCTCAACTCCTGACCTCGTGATCCACCTGCCCTGGCCTCCCAAAGTGCTGGGATTACAGGAATGAGCCACCATGCCCAGCCTAGAGTGTGTGTGTGTGTAAGCAATTTTTTTTAAGAGATGGGATCTTGATATGTTGCCAGGGCTGGCCTCTGACTGCTGGGCTCAAGCAATCTTCCCACCTCAGCCTCCCAAAGTGCTGGCATTACAGACATGAGCCACTGTACTTGGCCAGTTTCTCTTTACTTCTGTATTTTAAAAATAGGTTTTAAAAACCCAACTGGGAACCTGAGAAGCCCTGTACCCCACATTTTAAGATTTTAAGATTTCCAAAGGAGCCCTTTAAATCTAAAATGCTCTAATATATGGATATGGATTCTAACCTTCCAAAATAATTCCTGCTTGATGTTCTCAAATCATGCTATTTAGAAACATGGGACATTAGTTTCTCTATTCTTTAAAAGTTCTCTAATTCTAAGCAATGTACCCCTGTGAAGGGAATGAATTTATCCAAATAGTTTACACAGAGGACCATGACTTGAGTGTTCTACATATCTGAAAGCCATAGAAGTCTATTTCAGAATCAGCATCCACTGTTGAAAGAGCTGGAGTTTAAGCTGACTCCTTTAGGGTGGGAGGGGTGATGATAAGATTTCAACTCATTCCTGCTTTGTCATCTGTTGAGTGAACCAGGATACATGTGTACGGAGAGGTCCACATGGGGACAGATTAAAGCAGCTCTGCCCACTGGGCCAAATCTTCACCTTTGATTCTTCCGCATGAACTATATATGCACTAACTATATAAGCACCAAGTCCACTGGAAACATATAAGGCCTAAGAATGAAGAGATGCCATCTGGATATCAACAACAGGGTTGTCTTAATCCTTGTACTCATATATCTTCATGTTAAATCGCCAGAGATGCAGGAAAATAAAACTTACAACAAAGAGATACTCAGACAGAGACAGGCAAGGCCAAGAGGACTTCGCTGGGAACAGAAAAAAAAATTTAGTCATTAGTCAAAGAGGGAGGGGCTCCCACAGGATTTGGAGCAAGGTTCTATAGCAAAAGTGTCCAGAATAAGGAAGCTTATTTTGGAATGCTCTGAGGATAAATTTTTGGGCAAGCAGAAACTGCTCGCTACAACGAAGGAGAGACTGACTCTTCTTTCAAACAGGCATCTCCCAAGAGTATAAACTTGCTATTTCTTCTGAAAGAGAACTGCCTTTAGAGAGGACAGTGGGTCAGCCTCGCAGGAGGGAGGGTAACTAAGGTGAAAGCGGCAGAAACCCCACACACAAAGGCCTTTTTCATCAGGAAATCCAGAAGAGTGAGTTTGTGGCAGAGTTCACTACAAAGCTCTCAGGTTGCAAGAAGTGGGCCCCTCAGTTATAATTAACATTCGTGGGTGGCATAACACTGGCAGACCCATGGGGACATATGAGTGTCTGAAAACTATGTCATGCCCACAAAGGTGCTCAAAAAATGTGCTGAATTCAAAATCTTGAAGACCTCCAAAGTCTCTTCTTGTCAGAAAACAACTGAGCCATATTCCCTACAAGTTCAGAAGAGGCAGAAAGCATCCAGTTGTGAAGTTAACTAAATGGAAAATGCAACGCCCAGTGACGCCTTGCAGATCATCATAGAGCACAGCAGTTAGCAAGGGTCACTTGCCGAAACGGCGGCACTATCCCCACCATCATCATATTGTTTGGAGATGGAAGCAGGCACACTCCACAAGGATACCCTTAGAAATCAGCTCTAGTCTTTTTTTTTTAGACAGAGTTTCACTCTTGTTGCCAGGGTTGGAGTGCAATGGCAGGGCCTCGGGTCACTGCAACCTCTACCTCCCAGGTTCAAGTGATTCTCCTGCCTCAGCCTCCCGAGTAGCTGGGATTATAGGCATGTGCCACCACACCCGGCTAATTTTTAGTAGAGATGGGGTTTCTCCATATTGGTCAGGCTGATCTCAAACTCCTGGCCTCAGGTGATTCGCCTGCCTCAGGCTACCAAAGTGCTGGGATTACAGGCGTGAGCCACTGTGCCTGGCCAATCAGCTCCAGTCTTTTTTTGTGTCTTCTGACAACATAATTATAGTTCAAGAACTGGCATGGAGTACTGGCCCTTTCAGACATAACTCTCTGCCTTTCTGAATGGGGATACAGAATCGGAAAAGGAACAGAGGAACATTTGGAGTGCTGGCTTGGGTGGGGTGAGTAGTCTTTCCAGCTGATTTTTATCTAAACAGCACACTAGTCTGCTCAGCACTCTTTCCTGCCCCAACAGGAAGAAAGGACACACAGTCACTGCCCTCCTAAGAGGAAAACTGGTTTTCCACAAGAGGTCAGGAAGTGCAACCAGCCAGGTCACCAAAAATAGGGATGTTTCCCACCAGCCTGCCTTTCTTAACAACAGTTTTGACTACGCTCCCTTCTTTTGCCTTCCCTTGAGTGAATGCTATATAAAACTGGAGACTGCTTCCAGTCTTGCTTACGCACATACTTCTGAAGAGGCTTCTTGTTATTTTACCGCAGACAGCACCCACAATGTTCCCGGGACCCCCTACATCTTTCTGCCAACAGGCCTTCTAGAAAATTACCAAGCGTTCTAGGCCGGGCGTGGTGGCTCACGCCTGTAATCCCAGCACTTTGGGAGGCCGAGGCGGGTGGATCACGAGGTCAAGAGATCGAGACCATCCTGGTCAACATGGTGAAACCCCGTCTCTACTAAAAATACAAAAAATCAGCTGGGCATGGTGGCACGTGCCTGTAATCCCAGCTACTCAGGAGGCTGAGGCAGAATTGCCTGAACCCAGGAGGCGGAGGTTGCGGTGAGCCAAGATCGCGCCATTGCACTCCAGCCTGGGTAACAAGAGCGAAACTCCGTCTCAAAAAAAAAAAAAAAAAGAAAATTACCAAGCGTTCTAAACTTAGCGCTTGGCTCCTGGACCTGCAACTGGAGACCTCGTGGAGTCCGAGTGGGCACAGCCTCGGTGGGGGAGTCCCCGTTTGTTACCTTCCACAGCAGCTCGCACTCGCGCTCCTCCAGGGCTTTCTTATGCCGCGCAGTCACGGCTTTCACCTCTGACTGCACGACCTTCGCCTTCATCTCCACTTGTTCCGCCACCGTCTGGGCCTGCTCGATGCTCAGCTGGGGGAAAAAAAAAAAAAAAGCCTAGGCATTAGAAGGACTGTTACTCCTTATACAAAACATTTGACTCTACTCAGTCAGACTTTAAAAGCTGACACCCTGGGTTCCCAGACCACTTGACTCACTCCCCTTGGAAGGAAAACAGGCACTTAGGGAGAGACTGGCATCTGTCTGACATGTAACTGAAGGAGACGCTGGCAAGAGCTGGATTTCTTTGTATGAGAAATGGCACCTACACAGTGAATGTCAGGACTATTAAGAGATACCCTGACACGGTGAAACCAGTGTATTTGGGTGACAGCCGAAAACTGGGAATGAGGATCAGCTGTAAAATGTACAACTCTAGCCACACACGCAACTTCCCCAGACTTCCTGGCCTGCCTCTCTGCCTGGACAAAACCCTGCAGGCCGGGCACATCCCTCACATGAGGGTGTGCGACAGGGTAGTGACTAAACCCATCCTGCTTTTGTCAAGGTACTGGCAACACAGCTCATCCCAGCCAGAACGAACACCAAGTACGCACTGGGACTATCCCCCTCGATCTACCTAAAAAGCTGTGCCCTGTGGTCAGAGACCATCTACACATCACCACACACGCCATCCTGTACCAGCCCTAGTAAATCAGCCAGTTTAATCAGACGTATTATTGTTCATAAAAAATTTATCCAGACAGAAGGCATGGTGTTTTCATTAATATTACATGGTGCGTCTTGAAAAGCCACAAGGATTTCTTTGAGATACCGAGGCATTAAATCAGGGATTCCAAAGTGATTGCTGTTGGTACACCAGGTTTCAGGGCAGGCGATCCCCCATCAGGAGGGTGTCAGGGAAGCACGAAGGGTTTAGAGCCTGGTATGGGCTGAGGAATCATCCACTTCGCCGTGGACAGAGGTGTTTCTAGGATGTGAACTTTCAGTGCTAAAACTGGGACAGTCCTAGGCAAACCAGACTGGTCAGTCATCCCTGAAATCAGGCAATGCAGGTTCAAATCCTGGGTTAGTTTAAGGCCTACTACTAGTTGTAAGGCCTTGGACAAGCTCCTGGTCCTCTCCAACCTTGGTAAAGGGTAGCTGTGAGGGAAATGCAGAGCAATGCATGGGTAGAGCTGAGCTCAGCACCTGGCACAGAGTAAAACACTGTTATTAACAGTTCTCAGCTGAGAAACACTTGGGACAAAAGTTCAGCCACTGTGCCTTGTCAGGCTACTTAGCTCCTATCATAAAACTTACCATTAGTCACACTTAGTATGTTCAGTGTTGTGTAATCATCACCACTATCCAGCTTCAGAACATTTTCATCACCCACAAACCAAAGGCCACAACCATTAAGAAGTCATCTCCACTTCCCTCCTCCCCATAGCGATCACTAATCTACTGTGTCTCTACAGATTTTCTTTCTTTTTCTTTTTTGAGATGGAGTCTCACTCTGTCGCCCAGGCTGCAGCTGGGACTACAGGCAAGCACCACCATGCCCGGCTAATTTTTGTATTTTTAGTAGAGACGGGGTTTCGTCATGTTGGCCAGGCTGGTCTCAAACTCCTAACCTTGGAATCTGCCGGCTGTAGCCTCCCACAGTGCTGGGATTATAGGCCTGAGCCACTGCACCCAGCCCTTTTTTAAAAAAAAAAACAGAGGTGGGAGGCCTGGTACAGTGGCTCGTGTCTATAATCCTAACACTTTGGGAGGCCAAGGTGGGTGGATCACCTGAGGTCGAGTTCAAGACCATCCTGGCCAACATGGTGAAACCCCACCTGTACTAAAAATACAAAAATTAGCTGGGTGTCGTGGTAGGTACCTAGCTACTTGGTAGGCTGAGGCAGGGGAATCGCTTACAGCTACCTAGTGCTGGTAAATGTGGTTATGGCTAGAGATGTGCAAATATAAAATGTAGAGATTGTTCTCTCCACTCGGGAGATTGAGCCTAGGAGACGGAGGATGGAGTGAGCAGAGACTGTGCCACTGCACTCCAGCCTGGCCAACAGAGCAACACTCTGTCTCAAAAAAAAAGAGCGAGAGAGACGTGGTAGGTGGTCTTGCCATGTTGCCTAGGCTGGTCTGAAGCTCTGGGCTCAAGTGATCCATCCACCTAGGCCTCCCAAAGTGCTGGCATTAGATGCATGAGCCACCGCACCTGGCCTGTTCTGGGTATTTCATATAGATGGCATCAACATACAGTATGCAATCTACCTTATTTTTATGAGTATTTTTCCTGCCCAACAGTTTCACTTGGTCTGGATGAGAGCTGACACATTCATGGCATAGACATACTATGCAAGACATACTCAACGGTGCAGCTCCAAAAACACCTATGGTGGCCAGGCACGGTGTCTCATGCCTGTAATCCCAATACTTTGGGAAGCCGAAGCAGGTGAATCACTTGAGCTGAGGAGTTCGAGACCAGCCTGGGCAACATGGTGAAACCTGGTCTCTATTTGAAACAAACAAGCAAACGTACCACCCATGACTCCAGTGGTTAGCTGCCACACTATATTCTCTGCCTAAGAGGATCATGTGTGACCTAAGGATCCACTGACCTGATTTGCAGGGGAACGGGGTAGATCCAGAGGGCTCACAGGCTATACACAGCCTGGAATGCTTTCTTTTTGAAACTCATCCTAAATTTCAAAACCCAGTTCAGAGGCCACTTCCCTTCTGAAGCTAGAAGGGAGCAGCATATTTCTATAACGTTTCTGCTTCACCATTACAATCCTGTCCAAAGTACCACTTTCTTTTTGAAACTCACCCTAAATTTCAAAACCCAGTTCAGATGCCACTTCCCTTCTGAAGCTAGAAGGGAACAGCACATTTCTACAACGTTTCTGCTCCACCATTACAATCCTGTCCAAAGTCACTACATATCAATCAAAGTAGGAGCTAAGTACATAGCCCATGATACGTAAGGCACCTGAAATTTAGCAGAACAATCTGTACATTTTATATCTGCACATCTCTAGCCATAACCATGTTTACCAGCATTAGGTAGATGTATTGGGTTAAACACTGTCCCTCCAAAATTCAGGCTCAGCTAAATGTGGGCCAGGATGTGACCTTGTGTGGAAACAGAATCTTTGTAGATATGATTAGCTAAGATGAGGTTATACTAGATTAAGTTGACTCTTAAATCCAAAAACTGATGTCCAGAGAAGATCACGTGCAGACAGATACACAGAGAACAAAGCCATATGAAGACCAACGCAGAAATGGAAGCTGATGCAGGTACAAGCCAAAGATGCTGGCACCCGTCAGAAGCTAGGATGAAGAAAGCAAGGAGTCTTCCCAAGGGCCTTCAGAGGGAGCATGGTCCTGACACCTTGATCCTGGATCTCTGGCCTGCTGTCTTTGAGGAATCCAGTTTATGGTAAATTGTTATAACAGCCCTGAGAAACTAATACAGAAGCCAAAGTGAAGCAGACGGATGTTACAGCCACATTACCTAGAAGATAAAAAATTAGCATGGACAATCAAACGGGTATGCATAGAAGCAGGTATCATAATAGTACCGATAAATTTTTAGTATCTCAGGCAGTCGGGATTCATCCAGAGAAAAAAAGAAAAAACAGAAAGAGAGAGTGCACGAGAGCTCCCTAGACATTTAAATAGAGAATTCAGCATAGGGAAATGGTTAAACAGGTAAGGGAGAACTGCTAGGGCAAAGAGCACACTGAGGCAGACAGTAACTGCAGAAGCAGCTTCTTCTGCTTTGTCTGAGAGAACAAAGGAAAGAAAGCTGTGGTTACAAGAATCCAGAATAAGGTGGTGAGGTTACAACCAGCTAATACTGGGAGTGGCAAGGTCTGAAATTGAAACCAACTTCTGCTGCCAGGGTGAAAAGGAATTGCTATTAAGAATTGGGGCTGGGTAGGGTGGCTCACGCCTGTAATCCCAGCACTTTGGGAGGCCAAGGCAGGAGGATAACTTGAAACCAGTCTGGCCAACAGAGCAAGACGCCGTCTCTACAAAAAAAATTAATGAGCCAGGTGTGGTGGCGCTTGCCTATGTCTCATCTACTCAGGAGGCTGAGCTGGGAGGATTACTTGATCCCCAAGAGATCCAGGCTGCAGCAAGCTTTAACTGCAACACTGCACCCCAGCCTGGGTGACAGAGCAAGACTCTGTCTCAAAACAAATATATGATAATAACATAACTAATATGAATTGGAAGAGAAAGGAAAGAAGTCCTTTTTTCATACATGTAGTTTGAAGGGATAGGGTTGGCACCCAAAAAGTAGAACTTAGTAACTGGCACCCTCTATATTTTTAGATGTGTTGGTTATTAATTAGCACAACTGGTGTCCAAGCTAGTAGTTGACCAAGTCAACCAAACCTATATCTGTAACATTTCTTAATCATTCTTCAATAGAAAGCAGAGGTGGCAAACTGTTTTTTATTAATATTAATGTCATATTCCTTGCCAAACTAATGTTTTTAACATTTAACTTTTAACAGATGCAAAAAAACAAAAACAAAACCAAACCACCGCTCCCTTCGCATACAAATGGGCAGACTACCCTACTCACCTCTTCCTCTAGTCTCCTAGTCGGTCTTATCCCTCATGTTTCGAAGTCTCATTTTATCATAAAAACTGTTCCTTCCATTTTTCAAACAGGTTCAGGAGATTCAAAGGTTTTATTGCAATTTTAATAATTGCCAAGCATGAAAAGATATCCTTGGGCTGAAAGTCACAAAAGCCCTACCCAACGCATGGTGGTAAAATAGGTCTTTCCCTTCCAAATTACGCACTACCCGGCCAAGCATTGCATTCCAAAATGTGCAGACCAGGACCTGCTGAACTCGTTCCCTACCTCTAACAGAGCGGCATTTGAAGGATATATAAGGCAGATGGGTTGGGGGAAATGACAACGTAGAAGGGCAGGGTAAACTTCCAAAACAGATATATATACTTCACAGTAAGAAAACAGTAATCACCCAGCAAGCATGGTGCTTGAGAGAAAATTTAACCATCCTGGAGATGTTAACAGATCTAATCAAACATTTGAAAGC